TAATAAGGATTCAATAGTTTTGAAAAATATGAAAAGAATATTTTACAACTATTAAACAATACTTACATTCTTATTTTTCTTATCTAGAAAACACCTAACAAAACTTTTGGATGTATATATTTCATTAAGAACACCAATTAAAGCATTAAGGTACACAGAACCAAAGCCTTATTAAACTCCATATACACCATGAAGTTTATGACAACTGAAAAAAAATATATGCACTTTTGAGCGATTTAGAATATTATTGTTTTAACGTATTGAGATAAATAAGCGTGTCTTAATATAACAAATTATATTATTAGTCCTAATAGTTCTTAATAGTTTTTAAATTAAATATCTAAGAATTTTAGACTTTTAATTAGAAGTATAAAAATAGTTTAATTATAATCTATAAAATATGTGAACTGAAAAATTTGATGTTAGGATAATTTGATACTCCGATACTAGGCCAATGTATGCAATAATAATACGCTTCAATATTTATTTAATACACACTATTTCAGTTTTAACGAGATGATCAACAATACTGTTATAAAATTTGAAAGAGATGAATTAAATGGACATACTTTTCAATCTGAAATAGAAATTGAGAACACTTCTTTGTTTGATACTCAACATATTCACCGATCAAACAAACAGTGAAAAATCTATCAAGGTATGTCGTTACTATATTGTATTACATCTAATTGACATATTACTATGTACTTTGCTAACTACTTAGTTAAAAACAATTCAGTACATTAATAAAGTTAGTGATGTATGTAGCAATTACTAAATCAGTCGATGATAATAATAATATGCTTTTCGGTGTGCACATCAAACATTTTTCTTAAAAGCGGTTTGTTAATTTTTTTAAATCACTAGACATCACACAATTGCCTAGTTTGCTATTTGGTTTTTTTATTCCCTGAAATTGTATCTTCTGTTTATGGACATATATTGTTTTTGGTTATTATCATTAACACATTCTAATAAGTTTCCACCCAAAAATAAGTACAAATAAGTGGATTTCAAAAAAAAAAAAAATTTTAAAAGCCTGTACAGTGGGGCAGGAGCATAGTGAGGACAAGAAGGTAACAAATCTTCAGGAATTATTATAATTGAAAGTGATAAAGTCTCTTAAAATTAAACGCTTCGATACGAATCTGTGGATAGTAGGTTCAAATCAGTACGGTACAAACTAAGCACAGTAAAAAAGTATTATACGTAAGTGAGTAGTAGTAGCACTACTACTACTATGTGATGGTAAGGGTGGTCCAGTATTCACATATAAAAATACAAATATCGATAAAATAATTGTACCTAATGATTATTATGTGCTTAAAAATTAATTTTTAGTATAAGGATGGATACGATTAGGGCTGATTGTCTATAAAAATGCACTGCCATACAATGTTACCCATAAATCGTAATTAGCAATGTAATGAAAATATTTTTCATTACCTGCTGACTGTTGATTCACTCACACGTCCCAACCTGGAAATTGACTCAAATTCGAATGCGTTAAAGCTTTCGTGGATTGAAATTCCATTTTGCTGATTTTCGGATATATTCGAAAATCAGCAAAATGACTCAAATTCGCCAAAGTGTAATTTCCCCTCTTTTTGGGGGGGTTTTCCTTAATAAATTAAAAATTTTGACAACAGGTTTTTAAGAAATGTTTATATGTTCTAGTTTCATTCTAGATCTATTCTTTGGTCTAATTTTCAGACCTAAATCCCTCAAACTGCTTGAAAAAGTAAAATAAAGAAAACATTTCTATCTTATGTACAGTTTTTAGGTGTTTTTCTCGATTATTAATGAGAAAGGGTGAATTTATTGAATTTTTAGCCCATTAAAGTACGATTTCTGGTTTATAGAGTTGCTACACGAAGTAATAGGTTCAGCAGTTTAAAAAATATCGTGGGTCCAGACTCAAAAACTAAAAAAAAAAAAAACATCATTGTAAAACAATTCCTTCTCAGCTCCGCATAGAAGCTAATAAAGATATTATGGTTAGAAGTTACAAACTTTTCTTAGGCTAGTTTTTAAATTTAAAATAATAAATGTGTGACTTTCTCATAATTATTCTTATAATTCCTTCAAAAAATAGTGTATATTTAATTATGAAATACATTTATAAAAATTCATCATCATCATCATGTAGCTTAACGAGCCATCATGAGATGGTTTCTTGACGAATTCGCTTCCGGGACGGGTCGTCAATCCGTCGCCGGAGAGGGGGATGGCGGTTCCTTTTTACCGGACGATTGCTCGCCCAGCAAACGGAGCGCCTGTAACCGAGTGTCGAACCGGCGACAGTAAGCGCTAACACACTGCCGCCTTACCCACTCGGCCACTATCTTTATAAAAATTAAATCTTTTTATTCTGTAAAAAATCACATTTAAAATTTTCAATATAGGAAATTAACTATGTTTTAGAGTTGAATCGATGGCTTACGATGACGTCAAGTGCTTTAAGAATGAGACTCAAGTAGGCACGCATAAAGATGAGCAGGGTTTTATGGAGAAATCGAATAATGTTTTACACAAAACGTGTATGTTTGTCTGCAATGTGTGTCAAAAATCGTTTGCTACTAAAAAACTAATCATACTCCATCTAACGAAATCACATAATCAAATCTCCAAGGTTAATGAAAAGTTCCAAAAAGATGTCAGGGTTCCGGTATGGCGTGGTAAAAAATATTATCGAAATGATAACAGGCACACTAATGTATCTAAATTAAAATTATATAAGCGCCTACATACTACCAAAAAATTGTTTAAATGTAGTGTTCGAGATAAATCATTTGTCCACAACTCTTCTCTGAAAACACATAATCGCGTTTATACAGTTGGGAAACGATTTGAATGCCTTGTGTGCAATAAAACTTTTAACAGTAACGCTAATCTAGCAGTGCATAATCGCGTAAATACCGGTGAGAAACCATATGAATGCACTGCGTGCAATAAAATGTTTAGCACTAAGGGTAATCTTAAAACGCATTATAACGTGCATACCGATGAGAAACTATTCGAATGCGATGTTTGCCAAAAATCATTTGGCAACAAATGTACTCTCAAAATGCATATGCTCGTTCATTTTAATACGAAATCATTTGAATGCACTGCGTGCAATAAAATGTTTAGCAGTAAGGGAAATCTCAAGATGCATTATAGCGTTCAAACCGGTGTGAAACGATTCGAATGCGATGTTTGCCACAAATCATTTGGCAACAAATTTACTCTCAAAATGCATATGTGCATACATATCAATACGAAGTCATTTAAATGTACTGTGTGCAATAAAACTTTTAACAGTAACGCTAATCTAGCGGTGCATAATCGCGTACATACCGGTGAGAAACCATATGAATGCAATGCGTGCAATAAAATGTATAGCACTAAGGGTAATCTTAAAACGCATATGCACGTGCATAGCAACAAAAATGCATAACAGTCTTGTGACATAAGTCACAAGTCAGTCTTGTGTACAAAATGATAATTGTATTTTCGATCTATATATTCATAACAGCTTTTTATTGTGTATATTTTTTTAACATTAAGGACATTATATACACATTGTTATTAATAATCATAATAATCATGAAGTTAATTGTATTTATAGAGAAAAAACATATATAATACATAATTTAAATGAAATAGGCACAATATAAATGATTGTCTCCAAAATCCTAAACTTGTAGAGGAGACAACAGTTCTTATCTAGTGACATTCATAAACTTATATACTAACCAACTTTCATATTAATTTAATGAAATACAATATATCTAATAAATAATAATTTATTTAAATAATTAGTATAATAATAATGTGAGCTTACCGGTCAAATTTTTATTCACATAGACATTATATCTTAAAATTAATATAGTTTTTATACAGATCATAACTTATAAAATGATTTATAGAAACATCATATAGCATATATAAATTTATACTTAAATTAACAGGATCTCTTTTTCCAAATTTGTATTATATTTTTTAATTTTAAACATGTTATACTTCATTTGACGGGTACCATTATTGTGTTTGAAACTGACGCTATCAAAATTATAAAAATATAAATTAAATAATACTGCTTTAGCGTGAACAAAAAATAAAGTAATTGGGATCTAAATTAAGTAAGTCATTTGTATATATAATGAATAGTAATGACCCTAAAACAGTTCCCTGCGGTCACCATTATCTAAAGTATTTTTGTTATTGTATGTAATTTTATTGTAAGATTTTTAAAAACAATTTAGTTATGCTTGAGCTTAAGTATACTAATCTCTGAACTTTATTTATAACATGCCAAACCTCAAATTTTACAAGTAAAGGTCTACAAAATTATTACATTATTACTTTGTATCTTGTCGATTGGATTATATTTTAATTTTACAGAATTTTAGTATTATTAACTTTTTTAAAATATATTTTAATAATTAAACAATTTAAATGTTTCTTTATTAATTTATACAAATAAAACCATATATACAAATTACCAGTACTACCCAAAATGTCACATTATAGAAAGAAGTCTAAAAATTAACAACCATTATTTGACAATTTTAAATTTAACATTGAATTTTTTAACACAGTAAATTTTTTATTCTAAATTTAACCGGCAGAAGAACATTTTGGAAATGTGATACCACACGTTTCCGTTAAATTAATATGAATTATAATTTAAAAAAAAAATGTTTTATCACTATTTAGTTTGTATACTGGATAAACAAACGAATAGTTTGTCTATGAAATAATATTAAATATTTTAAACCTAAGTAACATTCATTATAACATTTCTTCATTTGAATTTATTATGTATTTTTTTTTGTTCGGCATACACGATTAATAAGTTGCTTAGCTACGGAAAATACAAAATTGCCCGGTCGATGAATAAACAATAATCATTACTTTTGTTTTTAATTTAACTGAAACAATTTTTGTTGAATGAAATTTCAGTGTTTTTTGCAGAGATTTATTTTATTATTTTTTTTTTTTGCTGTGATTATCCAAATAAAACAGTGGTCGCAATGATTGAGACGACAGAATTTTTCAGAAGTCGAAAAAGCATCTGTCCAGCAATGGGTAAGTACGTTTATAGTATATTATTATTCCTTTAGTGCAACGTAGGAAAATTATTATTTACATAGTAGGTATCTAGTCGAGGAGGCATTAGTAAAGTCTAGTACGTAGTAGGAATTTGGTACCAATTATTTTGTAATACAAGGTTTAAATACTAAATTTTCTTTGAAAATATTGACTGGTCAATAGCCAAAAAAAAAAAAAATAGATATTCGTTTTTTTTATTATGAGTCATAGATTGATATTTGTTATACAAAAAATATATTTGTAAAAGAAGCCTCATGACAGTCTTTTAGAAAAAGGACGACCTAAAAAAAAATTGAATTAATTATTAATTACTAATTTTTATTTGTTACCTACGTTTGGAACAAGATGGTTTAGAAAATAACGTTGAAATTTTCTGATAATTTAATTTTCTTACAACTACCAATATGAAGCGCCCAATTATTGTTATTTAAATTTCTAATTCTTCTTCCACATGCACATACTCATATTCATATACATGCACCATATTGTTATCCATAATAAATAACAAAATTAATTGAATTAAATTATAATAAATAATTTTGTAATGCTAATTGTTATAAGTAAACAAATTTATAGATTTTTGAGTAAATCATATAATATGTTGTAGAGTCACACTATATCTAAATTCAATCTAATTTTCAGAGAATAAGTTTTAAACTACGCTCAAAAATGTAAATAAAGAAACAGTTTCCAACACATCTAGGGGCAAAGATTTTCAGGACATTAGGAATTATACCGAGTTCCTGGATGATTGGTCTATATCTTTTCAAGAGTAGTTTTTCCAAAAGTTTACTTAATGTAGGCAATAAACTAATAGGTCTGTATGACGTGACCAAGTTCTTTGATTTGCAAGGCTTAAGTATGACAATAATGGCTATTTACCAGGTAGGTTAGGTTAGGTTAGGTCCTTCTCCTGGTCGGTTGACTATGTGCTAGCAGGTGGACCAAACCTTTCGACCCCGACTAAATAAAGTAAGGTCGAACTCTAGTACCTGGAACTGCGTAGCACGTACTCAATTAAGAGCCTGTGAGCCCCCCTCCACCACAACATGTTAGGTCCAACGAGGGGGAGAGTATATTATTGTCATTACGTTTATATATCATTACATTATTATTAAATAATAATTATATTTTATTCTCCGCTTATATTAGTGTTATCATAAAGTACATTATAGAAGTATTCAATTACAATTGTTGAATACTATAAATTATAAATTCGTTAATATTTTTTTTATGAAACTTAGGCTATAGCTATTCAAAAATATGTTTACCAATTTTTAAGAACTTGTTATTGTCAAAAACAAAATATGTATTTTGTTTAGCGTATAATATTATTTGACCATTAAATTCAACAATAAGTTGAGTCTATTTAATGTTTCACTATGCACTGGCCTAGAAGTGTTATTAATTTTTTTTTTATCATTATTTAAGTTCCTAATGCCCCAATAAAATAACTATCCACTACCTTCCTTTACGATAATGCTACCAGAAGATTAAAAAGAAAATTGCCAATAGATTTTCTAAAATAGCTTGTATACAGAATAAAAATGCTTACAGTATAACTTGTTTTCAAGCATGATTACAACAAATAAATTCGAACATTCAGATTAAAACAGTAGCGAAAATGTTTAATATAACAACTACATTTACAATAATAAAAAAATAATTTAATTTATTATATTCTGTACACAATTATAACGTATTATACGGTTTTTCGTCTGATAATAGATGTTTTTCTGCACATGCGAAGAAACTTTTAATTATGTATAATTTCTAAAATCATAGGAAAGTATGTAAAAGGATATCAAGTATAAAAGTTCAGAAAAATCAGTTTTCTTATTTAGTAATTTATTCCAATAAAATAAGGAAACCATTAAGTATAAAAAATGTTATTACTAGACGCCCGAGACTTATTACTACTTTCCCCAGATCCCATTTCATAAGCAATAAATATTGAAAATCGCCGTTCAATTGAATCTATGGAATTAATATTGGATATGGTAATAGGATTTAAATTATATTCTAGTTTTTATAAATGATATATTTACGTATGTTTATCAGTACATTATAAAAGTATTCAAGTACATATTATATACAGATATCATAACATGTTTATTAACTACAAAGCAACATGATTTTTTTTCAGTGGTTTCTTTTTCCTTACCTATTATTTGTTTTAATATACATATAGGTCATAGTTGTTCAAAAAATTGTTTACGATTTTTTTAAGAACTTGTTGTTGTCGAAAACAAGTATATTTTTTAACGTATTTTGTTTTGTTGTTTGTGTAGACACCTATTTACATGTTTCAACTATTTTCTTACATGACCGTAAAGCCCTAATGTTTCAATAATTATAGAGAATATCTATTTTTCTTTATTAAGCTACAATAGTATATCATTAAATTGTCCTTATGTAAACATGCATAATTATTAAATAATAATTTATATATAATTTGCACCATACTCGTATCCAAAAAAATAATTGAGTTTATTAAAAAATAATAAATAATTTTTTATTGCTAATTATTATAAGTAAACAAATTTACAGATTTTTTGAGGAAATCATATACAGGGTGATTTTTTTGTCGTAAACCACGCAATATCTCATAGGGTTTAATAAGAAATTAAATTTTTTTTTCATATTGTTTTTATACAATGTGATCTCAAGTTTTCACAATTTTTTTTTGTTTTTACCCCCCTCCCAACTTGGTTTTTTTGATAGCAACTTTTGAAACTTAATTGGTAAGGTATATATTTATAAATTGTTTTAATTGAAAATAATGTACTAAAAATGTTGACTGGTCGATAACCAGTTTCGGATAACTATTTTTAAAGTTATAAGAGTTTTAAAGTTAAGATGGGAGGGGAAGTGCGGTTGAGAAATGCGCGTAGATAAAAATAATAATACTACACTCCACCTTTCTTCCTGTCATCAATTCGAAACTTCAATAACCTCAAAAATATTTATCCGAAACTGGTTATCGACCAGTCAAAATGTTCAACACAATATTCTCAACTTAAAAAGCTAATAAAATATTTACGTTACCTTTTAAGTTTCAAAAGTTGCTATAAAAAAAATTGAGATGGGAGGGTAGTAAAAACAAAAACAAATTGTGCAAAATTGAGATCACATTGTATAAAACAATATAAAAATAAAAATTGTATTTCTTATTAAACCCTATAAGATATTGAGAGGCTCGTGATAAAAAAATCACTCTGTATGTTGTAGAGTCACACCATATTTAAATTCATTCTAATTTTCAGAGAATAAGTACTAAACTACGCTCAAAAATGTAAATAAAGAAATAGTTTTCAGCACATCAAGGGGGAAGGATTTTTGGTATACTTTGTTGAGTTAGAGCTCACTATCCTAATTAGTACAATGATGTACGGTAAATTCATAAATTAAAAAATTCAGTATAAATAAGTAAAAACTGAAACAACATAAATAATAATGGAAGGGAAATGGGAGGGGAATTTAGTATTGGCAATCCGCAAAATCTTTTTTTAGGGATTGATTAGTAGCATAAATATGTTTTAAAATATGACTTAAATGGGTTATAAAAGTTTTTCCCAACATTTTTTCTTTTCTGTGATATAACTTTTTTAAATATAATCGTATGAATAATTAAAACAAAATTTATCTTTAATTTTAATGCTTAGGTATACGCGTTTTACGCAAAATTGTTTTTTACTGCATTATTTATTGTTGGTATATAGTAGTGATGGGAAATATTCGAATATTCGAATAGTTTGGATTCGAATATTCGGGATTTGATTTTCAATAAGGATTCGAATCCTTCGAATATTCAAATAGTAATAATAATTAAATTACAAATAGTTTTTTTCCTAATAATGAAGTTTGATGCCAGCATTATAGTTGTATTGATCAAAGTAGGAGTTATACTCTAAATAGAAATGTAAACAATTTTCAATTCGAATAATTATTGGAATATTCGATTCTTTAAAAATTAGGTATTCGAATCCGAATATTCGAAGATTCGAATCCAAATTGGTTTGTATTAGCAATCCGCAATATCTTTTTTTAGGGGTTGGTTAGTAGCATAAATATGTTTTAATATATTAAAGTTTTTTCTTGTCTGTGATATCTTTTTTAATTATAATTGTATAAATCATTAAAACATGTTTTATCTTTAATTTTAATGCTTAGGTATACCCGTTTTACGCAAAATTGTTTTGTATCGCATTATTTATTGTTGATATATAGACTAGAACTCTACATGTGTACCTATATTAGTTTTCAATGTTTATTTTATCAGCAATAAGTAACGATAAAGCATGTTTTATAAAAATATAGTTGTTTCTTCGATTTAAATTGGAGAATTAACTTAATTCAATCGGAGTAACAGATTCAATATGCATATTAAGTTTGCCTATTAAATGTAGACTAATGTAATAAAACTGGTAAATAGCAAGATTTTTAATACATTTCCTTCATATTTTTTAACACATTAAATGTGTAAGAAAATAATACCTACATATCGTTGGTTTTTGTACAACGAGGGGATTTTAGCTACTAGGTACTAAAAATGTTAGTTGATATCTTATAGTTATTATGTATCAAACGCAAATAACAATATAGTTACAATATGTCTTGCGGGGTAAAATATCAAATAAAATCATTCTGAACACCTCAACGATGGTCAAATACGAATATACAAAATAGGTATTCGCAATAACAGCTTACGTAAATATACACTACTACAGTACAGATTTTAACAACAGTGACAATAAAATCAAGGATTCCTAACATAGCTTGGGTAAGTTCACCAGAACAATCACATGATACAAACAAAAAACAAATAATAAAACGTCCAAAACAATTATACTAATATGGAAGTGATTTGAAAAAAAATCATGTTTTTCTATACAATTTTAGTTTTACAAAAAGCCAAAAATAACATTTTGTTATAAAAGCGGTTGTGTAAACATGTAATAGGCAATTTTGTGTGGGATTTATCAAACGGAAAAACAACAACTGTATTTTTGTCTCACATGAGCTTTAGCGACGTTTATTGTTATTAAAACTCGATATGAATTTTCAACCAATTGACAAAACAAAGTGTATATGCATTTAATAAGTTTTATACTGTAAACGCTTCATGATTGACAATAGGTTTTGTAGTATTTTTGTAGCTTTAAAATATCGAGAAACTAAAAAATGTTAAATATATTAATAATATACAATTGTTAATTTTTGAAAAAAAAATTTATCCTAAGCCTTAACTTAAATACTAATTATAAAGTCTAAGTTTATGAAAAAAAATTGTCTTATAGAATTAAGTTTTACTGTATAACAGCTATTGTTAGAATATATTTTGATAGAAATTTAGAACTTTTCACTTGTATTAAACTGATTTATAATCTTCAGGAATTTTTAACTTACTCACTATCCTAATAAATAACTATCATCAGCTTAGCGTGCATTATGGCATACCAAAATATTTAAAACGATTTGTAAAAAAAATGCTTCGATTCATGACTGATGTGTAATTAAAAAACTAGATTTGGAATGAGGCGTTTTTCAAAGTCAGATAGTAGATGTATTTATTTTTAATTAATTAATTTGAAAAAAAATTTTCTATCAAATTTTGATTTTAAAAAAAGCTAAAAAAACATTTGGTTATAAGGCGGTTGTGTAAACATGTAATAGGCAATTTTTTATGGGATTTATCAAACGGCAAAACAACAACTGTATTTTTGTCCAATAAGCTTTAGCGACGGTTGTTGTTTTTAAAACTCGATATGAATTTTCAACCAATTGACAAAACAAAGTGTATATGCATTTAATAAGTTTTATACTGTAAATGCTTCATGTATTTCGCTGAAACAACAGGCGTTAAACATAATAAGAATCATTTAAGTATTCAACAGCTACGAAACATTACGTGTTTCACTCGTTGAAAAAAATATCATAATAACAATGAGTTTTACTTACTTTATTACATTTTTATACATCTTTCTGTATTTTTATACAGCTAATGCAGACCATCAATCTTCTAATGAGGTAATTCTGATTTTATGATTAATTTAAAAAAAAAATTAAATATTCTACAAACCTAGTTAATATTATACTACTATTAATTCGACTCACATTATTCCTACAACAATAGTATTAATGTGTATTAAAAATAAAAATGTAACGATCTTAGCAACTTGCAAAAATTGATAATGCGGTAAATGATTCCGGGAAACAAATTTCCGAGACTACAGTACAAAACGACTTAAACAAAGAGTCAATTCAGCAGAAATTGGGAACAACTATGTCTGAAGCTTACATTAAAACTGATTCCATGTCGAGTACGTTTAATAATAATTCTGTAATAGACTTTTTAAAAAATATAACATGTGAAATGTAAAAACTAATAATCACTTTAATGATGTACATAAATTATTTCTAAAAAATACTAATACTGTTATGCAGAAATCGTCTGTAATGATAGTCAGGGAGAATAAGTTGTAAAATATAAAAAGCTATTTATCATGTTTTCTACAAATTATATTCCAAAAGAAACCAATTAATTCATTATCTATTTCACTCGTTAAATAAAATATTATAATGAGCTTTACATATTTTATTAAAGTATTATTTAATTATATGTTTTTATATATAAAATATATGTTTTTCATAATTAAATTTTGTAATTTTTTCATATTCACGCAGCAAATGGACAATTTAGAAATTCTGAGGAGGTAACTCTGATTTTTTATTATTGTGTACCAATTAAAAATAAAAATATAATAATTTTAGCGACTTAAAAAATTGTATAATGCGGTATCTTATAAATTCGGCCAAGTTAGCTCATTATCAGTTCATTTGTACTTAAGAAAAGAATCAGCTCTGAAGGAACATGGAATAACTGAATTGGAAGCCTCCGAAATAATTCGTGTCCTGTTGGGTTCGTTGAATAATAATAATCCTATAATAGATATTGTAAAATATATAAAATGTGAAATGTAAGAACTAAAAATCTTTTTAACGTTGTCAATAAGTTATTTCTGAGGAGTACTTAAAATATTTTGCAGAAGTCGTCTGTAAAAATAGTTAAAGATAGTAAGAAACAGTCGTAAAAAAATATAACGCTTTTACTCGTTTGCTACAAATTGTGTTCCAGAACAATTTTATAATTGTTAAACGAATTTAAATTAATAATGAAATGTCATCTTTACGACATTTCCCAAGAATTTTATTTCTACACGATATTAAGTTATTTTAAAACTGAACAAGCAGGCAAATAAAATTGTTGTTGTTAAGTGACATTTGATATGTAATTCCCTTAATGCCTTAATATTGTTCATAAAAACGCAATGATAATATTATTGCAACAACTCAATTCGTAACGGCATAACATAGTTTGGTAAATTTTGATGTGAATACTTTTTTGACATTTTTAGGTGGTCATATGACCATAAATAATTTTATAAAAATCTTAAAAAAAGAACTTACAAATGAGGTAAATTTAAATTTTTTCTATTTAATTATATAAATGATTTATATTTTTTTTAAATATATATGTTTTAATAATTCGTGATGAATTATTTCCATAATAGTAGTATTCACATTGTGTATTAAAAACAAAAATTTAATTATTTTAGCAACTCGACTACATTTATAATTGGGTACGTCAAAATAAAAAATCAAAGAGTAAGATAGGTTTTCAAGGGTTGAGGCATCATGAAGTTACCAAGGATAAAATTAAAGAGTATTTATATGCGGAACACGCCCAATATGGACTAACTCCAAAGGACGTCGAAAAGATAACTGAACTTTTGAAGTGTACGTTGAATAATAAAAATTCAGTAATAGAAATTGTAACATATATAATATGTGAAATGTGAATAACTAATAATCAATTTTATGTTATACTTAACATAAAGTTAACTTAACATAACTTTAAATATGTTAGGGATAGGTAGTGTGAGTTATTACATTTTTGAAAAGTACTAACAACATTATACAAATGTCATCTATAAAGATAGTTAGGAAAAACAAGTTATACAAATGCAAAACGCTTTTATCTTATTTCTCTATAAATTATGTTGCAACCAGTCAATTCTTTACAGCATAATAAAGTTAAAAATTTTAAACTTTGTTGTGAATACATTTATAATGATTTCTAGTTAATCATATGGAAAAAAACGAATTTAAAGCATTAATGACTAGTGGACAAGCTTTAAATTATTGACTCAACAACATCAGCTGGTAGTGGATTTAAAAATGTGCAGCCTCCAGGTAAATAATTTGTTTAACTCTTACCAGTACAATATGTTTCGTTTTTTTTTTATAAATTATATTGTTTTGTTTATTAGCAATTTTTTTTAATGTGATGAAAAAATGAAAATTGTGAAATATTATAGGCTTGGGTAGGTTAATTACTAGTACTCCAAATAGTAAATATAAAAATAAAAGTTAAGGGGGTTGGAAGAATCTGTCTTTAGATGATATGTATCAAACTCATCTGTTAGGAAAAGACTTTTGACACATTTTATTGGTTTGTTTAAATTCATTGAGTTAAGTATTATGAAATGTATGTGCCACAGCTAAAATTAATCCAAATTTAAATTAAAAAAGAACTTACAATATAAAACTTTATCTAAAATTTTATCGGAAAAATTTATAAGGACTTTGTTGAATAGGGCCCAAACTTTTTTTTCATTCAAAAATTAAACATGTTTAACATTATTTAAAATTGTAGTTAACTATCGGTTGTTTTCAGAGTAGAAACATTTTTAAAAAAGGTGCTACAATTAATTTGGAAATTACGTTTAATATAATTTAACGTATTGTATTATTATCGCATTGTAAGTTTAATTTTATATCAATATTTCAGAGCTACAAGATTACTTCATCATCCTATAGTTCACTTTATTCAAAAAAACCAAACTATTTTTATGTATTTAATTTATGTCTATTCAAAAAAAAATTCAATGTGGTATTCTTGTAACTTATTTTTAAAATGTGATGTATTAAATATTATTAATGGGTGTGTGGGTGTTTGTTTTGTTTTTATGATTTGTAAATGTTATATTCAAACATTAAAACTTCATAAAAATGTTAAATAACTAGTATTGTGTAGATTCAAAAAGTTTACTTTTACCTTTATACCATTTGTAAGTAAAGAGTAAAATTCAAAACAATGGTTTAAACACTTTAAGTGCCAAGCGAGTAACTTGTTTGGGATGAATTGAGTTTAGGAAATTTCTGAAGGACAGGCATCTCATAAATCCACTGTTTTAATACAAAAGCAGAAAATAATTTTGCAGTTGTAGTGTTCAAATAATAACATGTTTTCATATTAAACTAAGAAAATATGTAGGTTACTTAAATACGAATTTATCGGCTTACAAAAAAAAACGAAAAGCAACGGATGTTATGTTACTAGTAAACATTTAATAAAAGCAATAACAGATTATCTGCTTTAGTATACGAATTCTTCCTGATAGGATATTAACAAGTAATCATGTTTTTACTTAACACCAAAAATATATTTCAAACTACGTACATTACATAATAATATTGTTCCTGGAACGAATTTTAAATATTGGCCCAAACATGTTATGCCATGTTCTTAATTAACATTTTGTTACAAGCTTTTACAAGCTCAAACTCGGTTAAACTATCAGAATACCATAAAATTATTCGTTTAATCTATGATTTTTATAGTTATAAAAAAATCACCATTACTTTTGTTTAAAAATAATTTCTAGTATTATGTATCTTATTCATACATGTAACTATTCACACACATGATGTTTAGCGAGACAACAAGTCATTATAGTCATACGCTTTCTAATTAAATATTATAATCAATAAACCAATTTTGTAGTTAAGTTTTGTTGCGCTTTGTTATAGCTGCGAGCATACCAATGGGCAATGTATTACGGTATAGTGTGTGGATCAAAAAAATATCCACAACAAATGTATGGATGTAAAACAGTTGTCCATTCTGCGTTGAGATTACCGACTTATCGCAAAATTTACCTTCGTGAGTAACTACATTGTTGAGTCGCAGTAGCTAAACCGTAACTAATATAATTCTCATGAAAATGGACTTACTGCGTTTGGTCTTAAAATTCAGTTCGAAATTGAACCCAGGTGTTTAACTATACGTTTTGTGAATAAACAAACACAAACGTTGTCCACAGTTTATTTATTTATTTATTTTTTTTGTATAGCATTTGTAATAAACGTATTGTAATAATATGTAAACGGATACTGTTGTACTGTGTTGAGTTGCCTGACGCCTATTAGGTATAACAATGCATATGGTATTATAGTTATCGCATTTCTAGAATTTTCGCACCGGGGGAACTATACTTAATAATACAGTTCATCGGTGTAATGATAATTAACACAACCAGATCACCACATTGTTATTCGTTAACGTTATACATACCGGATTTTTTAGTGTAATCTGTAAGCCAGATGGCATACCAAAATGGTAGTAAAATAATATAAAACTTAATTTACAAAAAAAAAATAATTTACACAAAACTGTTATTATTTGTTTACCCATAGTTTTTAATACCTATGCTAAATTTTAGCATAGGTAGGTATATTGCAGTATTATGCATAGTGAAAAATAATTTAAAAAGGTCAACAGAATTATAAATTTGATATTTTATGTAAATTATATTTGTAAAAGTATTAAGCACAAGACGTTTATGATCAATGTCTCGACAAACCCCTTGCCAAACAAAGTTGCAAATCGAGTCGAAAGGTCAACAACTTTCAAAGTGTCCTAGGGAGCCAGCCACAACAGATCCGCCTTAATCGGCATAAAAGGGAGCCACATCGGCATTTTCGAGCAGATTCATTTGTTCAGTACTCAAAAGTGCTCTGTCTGGCTTACACTTTACTACTGTACTATCTAATAATTCTAATCTTTCATTTTGTCAAATAGCTTGGGATAACATGGAAAATCGTATTAACCAAGTAAAGCAAAGGTATACTGTACACTAACATCTTATTTAGGAAGTAATTATTATATGGGAAGATCTAGAAGGGATTTAACTTCTTTATTATTCGGCAAAGCCGTTAATTTAATCTTTAGTAAGTTAGGTAGTCATTTAGTATCTAAGTATGATAACCTAATTAATCAACTTAATGTGTTAGATGTAAAACAAATAAAAATAGAAAAAGAAAAAGAACAGATTAAAATAATACAATCACAAAAGTATTTGTATGGTATGAATTATGATGCATTAGTATACTGACATAAATGAAAAATTAATTGAAAAATTTAAGGCTAATAAATTAACAGAGGAACACTATATATCATGTTGATAAGAAATTTGTGTTTGTAATCCAAATACCTTTGACCTATCAACAGGAACTTACGTTATATAAATTAATTCCTATTCCTGTTACAGTTGATAATGCAATCATTAATAATTTTAATATTTATATTCAACCAAACTATAAGTTTTTGGCTATAAGTAAATCTAGGGAATATTATATTGTGTTTAATGATTTAGACATATAAGGATGTAAGAGATCGCAATCCTTTTTTTTATATCCTTTATCCTTTATATCCTTTCTTTTCTATATAGCTACAGTTTAAAAACGAATGGTTAGGTTAGGTTAGGCTACAATAATAATCCAATTTCAATCTATGTGTGGTTAAACTTGATTGTTTTAAAATATAATCAAGTGTTAACTAGTGTTGATCTATATTAATTTAATTATTGGAAACCTGCTGTTCGATTACTTCCTTCAGTACTGGGGCTCAGTACAAAAGGTATTATATAAAACTGGTTATCTACCAGTCAACATTTTCAGAAATTTTTACCCTTCTTTTAGATAGTTAATAAAATGTATTATACATTCACATTTTGGTTCACACCCCTCTGGAAAATACTGAAATAAAGTAAATACTTGGTAACTTTATAATAATGTACAATATGATATAAATATTTTCAAAAAGTAAAAACTACAAAATTGTAATTATTTCTCGGTAAAATGTATGTGTTCACAATGTATCGGTGTATTATTTATTAGATATCTGTAAAAAAAATGCACACAAAAATTGATTTTAAAATTGTAAGATAATTCTAGTTCTTAACAAAAAACATACAATATTTTACAACCATTTTGGTATGCTGTTTGGCTTACCGATTACACTAAAAAATCCGGTATGTATAACGTTAACGAATAACAATGTGGTGATCTGGTTGTGTTAATTATCATTACACCGATGAACTGTATTATTAAGTATAGTTCCCCCGGTGCGAAAATTCTAGAAACGCGGTAACTATAATACCACATGCATTGTTATGCCTAATAGGCGTCAGGCAACTCAACACAGTACAACAGTATCCGTTTACATATTATTACAATACGTTTATTACAAATGCTATACAAAAAAAATAAATAAATAAATAAACTGTGGACAACGTTTGTGTTTGTTTATTCACAAAACGTATAGTTAAACACCTGGGTTCAATTTCGAACTGAATTTTAAGACCAAACGCAGTAAGTCCATTTTCATGAGAATTATATTAGTTACGGTTTAGCTACTGCGACTCAACAATGTAGTTACTCACGAAGGTAAATTTTGCGATAAGTCGGTAATCTCAACGCAGAATGGACAACTGTTTTACATCCATACATTTGTTGTGGATATTTTTTTGATCCACACACTATACCGTAATACATTGCCCATTGGTATGCTCGCAGCTATAACAAAGCGCAACAAAACTTAACTACAAAATTGGTTTATTGATTATAATATTTAATTAGAAAGCGTATGACTATAATGACTTGTTGTCTCGCTAAACATCATGTGTGTGAATAGTTACATGTATGAATAAGATACATAATACTAGAAATTATTTTTAAACAAAAGTAATGGCTTAAGAAAAATGTGCAATAAAATCGGCTGACATATTAAGATACATGTTGATGTGTGAACAATACAAGCAGGTATTTGTTTTTGTTGAGTTATAATAATTACCTATTTATAATAAATAAAATAACTTGGGCATTCGATGTGATTATGAAGTAAAAAAAACAAAATTTATTCTAATTACTTATTTTTACGAGCTTATAATTTTTAAAATACAAACTACAATATTAGCTCTAATTAACTTAAGTACTTCCACAATCGAGTATAGGAATAATTCGTAAATGCAATATCTTTTTAACACCGCATTATATCTAATAAACACATTTTGTAAGGTAATAATGATAATAATTAATGACACTAAGACAACTTAACAATTCAATA